CAGCAGAAGAAAAACAACACGAAACGAACATACAACGATTGCATGTTGTTTCACCATATGAGCTCCTCAATGTCGGTATGGAAAATACAAAAGGGCAATTGACATAGATATTTTAGCCAAAGTTGATATTTACAGGATGATAGCTTGCTTCAGCAGAGACCATATAAGTGACTTACCGTTGATCTGTGAACAGAAGCGTACATGTATGTTGTTGTCCCTGGAGCTGCCAGGAAGGAAGATGTCGCAAGATCTGGGTGTACATGAGGATCGTTTAAGATTACCTGCAGTGAGTGAAACTGCAATATATTTTTAGTCAGTAACATATGTGTACACTTCACCATCAAATCACAGCTGGAACTACATGAACTGTGTTCAAACTGAAAATGCTTACAAGCTTTGGGCATTTGTGTGGAAATGGAAGATTTCTATGTTGAATGTGCGAAGTGAGAGGAAGCTAGACGGATGACCACTCAACACCCAAGCTGAGCTGTGAATACAAACAAACCTCCCATACAATGGCGACAAGTGACAGCGAGAGTGACGAAATCTACACCAGTCAAAAGGTAGTAAATGTTGACAATGCCATATTCAATATGATTCACGAAAAATTTGGACAATTGGATAAGGAGTCATTTGAAAATGGTATTTTGAATATATATGACAAGGAAGAGGAGAACTTAAATGACGTCCGTTACAGTATGTATGATGTTGCTAAGGAAAGCTGTGAAGACTTCCCACAAGGGAGTCTCTTGAAAAGAGTGCAGAGAATAGGATCGAGGAAGACGATGATGGAGAAGTATGCATCTGATGTGTACTATCTTTACCAATTCATAACTGGGAGTATCTCAGCGAGTGCATTACAGAAAGCGGTACTAACAAAGGTTAAGACAAAGCATTCTACTACTGATAACATCTATCAAGAAATGATGAGCGCAAAGGATAAAGATTCATTGTCTCTCATTTGTGCAAAAATGATAGAACTGCAGGATAGCATGTGCGAGCGCTCGAATGCTACTGATAAGAAGATAGATGAACTGCATGACAAATTCAACTCGGATATGTTGAAAATGATTCGTGTACTGGAGGAGAAGAATAAAGCATTGGCTACAGCATCACGTGACCTTGAAAGGATGCGTAGCATTGAAGCTAAACTCAGATGTGATATGCAGATTCTCGTTTCCCAACTGAGAGAGAGAGACGCTCAAATACGTCATCTCAAGGATGATGTGATAACGAACTTAGACTCCATCCAACGAAGAACAACTGGCATTGAGAGAATGATGACCTGTGGTAACAGACGCAAGTTGGAGTCGCAGGCGTTAGAGACTCTGTCATTGGAGTCTAAACAGGATGCTCAAGAACAAGTAGAAACACAGATAAAAAGTATGGATGCTGATACAAACGGGGATGAAGTCATCATCACACACTGTGATACCAGTCTATCAAGAGAACGACAGACAAGTACACCATCACTAGAACAACAGCACCACTCTGACGTCACGACATAGAGCATTGAATCACCAGATGTTACATCATGTAATCAGCCTGACCTCTCTCAACCTAAGCCATCTGACAATGAAGACGAATGCGGCGAACACAGGAGTGAAGAAGCAAATGACTGTGACAAGAGGTCAGTTACATTTAACAATTAATGGTCGAGGGCTTTTCAAGGTGTTACACCCAGGTTTAAAACAAAGAGACTTGTCCTATCATTCGTGCGTGCTGGCGAACCAGTTAATGTGATTCAAGACGCAATCTGCGACTACGCTAAGAAACGTGGAGTGCATGTGACCAGTGTGAGACTACTGAAACTCTGGGAGGGTCTCCAACTTACACTTTAAGAGTGAACGTAGACAGCAGGAATGCCAAACTGATAACAGAATATGAAAACTTCTGGCCAAAATATGTTGAATGTAGAGAATGGATACCTTACTCACAGTCAGGACAAAGCAGAACAGACTAGGTATTCACCATGGCTGTACGTCTCATATACTACATCATCATGCTTTGCATTTCCACATGGAATATACGTGGTGCAATGTATAACAGTAATTACCTGAAAACATTGCTGATACTTGTGACATTCTGGCTATAACAGAACATTGGTTAACGGAAAACACTAAGTGTTACTTTGAACAAATGAAAGGCGATTACGATTGAGCTGTAACCATTAAGTCCTCACAAAACAGCATGAGAAGGAGGTGTGGCAATACTGGTGAAGAAAACATTAAGTCACAACTTGTATGTACATGAGACTGTAAGCGACAGTCTGTGTGCTGCAACAATACAACGTGAACATTGTGTTGATCTGTCTATTGTTTGTGCACATCTACCCTCTTCAAACCAGAGTTATGAAACGTATGAAGATAGTGTAAAATGCATGTTCGACACTGTGGATCAGCTCTCTTACACTGGTGTAACGCTATTGTGTGGAGATGTGAATACGGACATTTTCAATAAGCCGAATTCACGACGTTCAGTGTTATTGAAAAGGTATGTATCAGATCGCAATATGATTCCAACATACCAGGATATGAACAATATACCATCAACATGGCGAAACAAATCTAACACACAGAGTTCAACTGTAGACTACATCTTCATTCCAGAATCGATACAGTCATCACTGCTAGAGACCGTCACCAATGACACTATTCCATATGATGTATCCGATCATGTTCCAGTGATGGTCACAGTTATGAATGATTCATTTCTCACTGGAACACAATCATGGAAATGTAGTTCTCTCAAGTGGAGTAAGGCCAACACGACAGATGTAAATATATATGAGTCTAAAGTGGCTATACAGTTGGGTAGGATACTCCCCTGTGCGACCTATGTGACAGAGGATGTTATTGACAACTATCTGGATACCATCACAACATGTCTACACTCAGCAGCAGCTGCCTATATACCACGTGGTGTGTACAGACCATACCTTAAACCCTACTGGAAAGGATCAAACCTGGACTATTACCACTTCCAGATGAGACAAGCAAAGCGCCACTGGGTATCCCAGGGGAAACCAAGACAAGAATACAACCAATCTTACGTAGACTATAAAGACTCAAAGAGAGAGTTCAGACAACAGATGAGAAAAGCGGAGCGAAAATGGAACAGACAAGAAATATGTTGAAATTAACACAGCTAGTGAAGTTGATATTGCCGAGTTTTACAGAACTGTTAAGAGACAGAGAAGGAAAGTTGCATCAAATGTACAGAGCAGCATTAAGTATAAAGATAAATGTGCCGCTACTCCCTTTGAAGTATGCGACCTGTGGTCGGAGTATTACTGTGACCTACTTTCGCCATACGAAAGCAACAACTTCGATGCTGACCATTTTGAATCTATAAACAATGCGGTCGAAGAGATAGAACGTTCTGATGTCCCATCGTGTGACCCAATATTGGAACATGGTGTCTCTGTTTCTGACATTCAAACTGTAGTGAAATCACTAAAGTTGAAGAAAGCGCCAGGACCAGACCTTATTACTAATGAACATATCCGATTTGCAGGTCCATGTCTGTATGGTCATCTGGCTCGCCTGTTTAACCTCATAATTGAGCTGTGTTACATACCCAAGTCAATGCGGATAGGAACTATTCTCCCGTTATATAAAGGTAACAACAGGGACAAGACTGACCCAGCAAGTTATAGGGGGATCACGTTAACTTCAGCCTTCAGTAAACTGTTTGAAAATATATTGTTAGACAAAGTTGAAAATCATGTACAAGTAACTAATCCTGAATTTCCAAACAAACTTCAGTGTGGATTTAGAAAAGAACACGGGGCAACCATAGCTGTTCACATACTGAAAGAGACAATAGCGTATTACATGGAGAGAGAATCAAATATTTATGTTGGATTCTTGGACAATGAAAAGGCATTCGACAAGATTTGGCATAATGGACTTTTATTCAAATTGTAAGATACAGGCGCTAATGGACGGGCGTGGCACTTGATTAGACACTCGTACAAAGAAGCGTCTGCTTGTGTTCAATACAACGGCATCACGAGTCGTACTTTCCCAATCAGACAAGGAGTGGGGCAAGGAAGAGTGTTGTCTGCATGGATGTTCCTCCTTTACATGATCTGATCACACAACTCGACAATCTTAAACGGGGAGCGTTGATTGGACAACATCATATACCTTCAGTGGTGCTAGCAGACGACACGACCCTGATAAGTACAACTTATTATGGACTGCAGGCTTCACTCAACATTGTACATGATTACTGGTGCCTGTGGGGGTTGTGCTACAATCCAGCCAAGAGTTGCGTTCTTGTGTTCAAGGGGGAGAGAAGGATATCAAGGAACCTTACTTTAAACTGAATAACATTCACGTGCCTGTAAAAAATAGTTCAATATACGCAGGATCTTTTGTACATACCAAAAGCCAAAGTGAGAGAACGAGTCGAGCCTGTTCGTCTGCTAGACGGATAATAGCATCTCTCAAAGACGTTGGTCTTAGAGCAGGGGGGTTGAACCCAGTAATCTGTGATAAGATCTGGCAGCGTATTATCTTAGCAAGTGCCCTGTATTCATGCGAACTGTGGGCTAACATCACACGACCAGAAATAGAAGAATTAGAGAGGCTGACAGACTCTCGGACTCTGCAGTATGGAGGCCACGATTGACATTGAGCTACCTCGGCAGAATATGTCGCGCGAGCTCAACCCAAATGATCAAGCTACTGTTTTATTTCAGATGTGGACAGTTCTTAAGTGGTAACTTCAACAAAAACTCTGTTATTCATGACTTGATTACTATATGTGCGAAGAATGAATTGTATCAATATCTGCTTCATTACATAGATAGGGGATTCTTTCCATCAAAATATGAGTGGAAAACTGTATGTAATAAAGCAGTGTTTACCAGAGAGACGTCAGTATGGAGACAGCAGTTATCCATGCGGCCCGACTTACAACGGTTTACTGCTATACACACGGGCCTCTCGTCCCATAGACTGTGGAACATGTGCTTACTGTTTGACCTGTACAGCAGGCCTGTGTACGCCCTGGTAAAGCTTGGGATACTACCGGTCAGTGCCGGACTCTGTCCTATATGTCGTGAGGAGACAGATGATATTGTGCAGCACCAGTTGTTGTGCTGCAGTGAACTGTTTAGCCAAAGAAATAACATGTATGAACGATTGTTCGATATCTTGCGACTAGAAACATACATCAATCTGGAGAGTAGCTCTGATGACACGAGAGTTATCACTCTACTTGGTGGCATCACCCCTATCGTGGACATGGACATCCACATGTGGGCCCAGTTCATTGACATTGTAGCCAGGAACATTAGTTCGTGGAACCTACAGAGCAGGATCTACTTATGATTCGTATTCCATTCAGCGACGCCCCAGTGTATTATATATACATATGCTTAACTTTCTTTCTGATTGTAATATGATTTGTACATAATCATGTATTTTCTATTCATGTCATAATTCATTGTGCTCTCCGACATTATTGGAGGGAATAAAGACAATTCATTCATTCATTCATTCATTATAAGTGACTTACCGTTGATCTGTGAACAGAAGCGTACATGTATGTTGTTGTCCCTGGAGCTGCCAGGAAGGAAGATGTCGCAAGATCAGGGTGTACATGAGGATCGTTTAAGATTACTTGCAGTGAGTGAAACTGCAATATGTTTTAGTCAGTAACATATGTTTACACTTCACCATCAAATCACAGCTTACACTACATGAACTGTGTTCAAACTGAAAAAGATAAACGGTATCACACAAAAGCCATGATTACATCCCTTTAGACAATATGTCTGTCACGTTCTGATGGACGCATAAAACATCATCTATAAAGTGAGTGAGTTAAAATTGATCGTCACATTGGCAATATTTCAGCCATATCGTGACGAGAACAATTATTTTGTCATAGTAATTGATGGTAAATTGTAAAAACCTGTCAACGAAGGACAGTTAAATAACTAGATTATCACAGATTCGAATTTAAAACTAGTAATTAATCTTAAACAGTTTAACTATAGACATCATATATAAACCATACATTATTTGCTTAACTGCACCAATTCCAGTAACGATGTAACGATTTTACATGGCAGTTACATCCAGAAGTTGGTAGATATGTACAAGTAATGAAAGGAAAACGTGAAGGTAAGCATGTAATTCTCAGTTGTGCATTGTGTAAATCGTCTTCCTATTCACTGGGGATTACTTTGTTTTGCATACCTTTATCCCAGCAGCCAGTAGGGACCCAAGAACATACTTGGCCTGATCAATATTGGCATCCTTGATGAGATTGTTGTCTGATCCAGTAAGTCGATCTTTAGCAACATCAGAAGCATTCCAATTGAAGGTGGCACAGCGACCCATGTGAGTGAAAATAAGTTTCATTGCAGCGGTGCACTCGTGATGTTCAACACAATTCATCAAACACATATAAAACATTCGGTTTAGAGTCATGGAAATACTTTCCCACTATTCGTGTTTGTGAATATTCCGAAATGTAGACCCATAACCAGGATCGCTCCTATCTATATTTCGCGTCAATGATCCTAACATGCTGACTTTTGTGAAATACTCCTCCAGACAATGATCGATTGCTCTAATCTTGGTCATCCGGGCTCAGATTGCAGAGACCGCCTCCGTGGTGTAGTGGTTAGAGCGTCTGCCCGGAGAGCGGGTTCGATCCCCGACCGCGTGATACCAAAAGACGTTAAAATATGGTACTTGTTGGTCCCTGACTGGCGCTCGGCATTAATGGGTACAACAAGGACTGGTCGGCTCGGAGTCAGTATAATGTGTCTGAGTGGGGTATTCATGCTTCACTGCGGCATGGTATCTCAGTGAGCTAGCACTATAAAACCAGCTTCAGTCTGGGCTAGTACAAGCATCCGCACATACACATACACACGCATGCACGTCGTCATATGAGCGAAATATTCTCAAGCACGACGTTAAACCCAATTTCACCTCACCTCACCTCAGATTGCAGAAGGTGACGGCGGGAAAAGGCAGTTCATCGAGGACTTCCACCTTCGTGTTCGTTATCACTGGGTATGTGCTGTAATTCATCAGCTCCTTTGTTATGTTGTAGGTCACGAATGCTGTCATCACCAAAATGCGACCGTCCATGAAAAGCTAACAAAACAATTCTATAAAAATCTAGATGCATACTTCTCCGAAGAGATGTGAAATTATGTTTTCCTGTCATGAGTAAGAAGCCGGGGATTTTATTACACTTCCAAGGGACATGCTGCAAGACGGAAAGTAGACAGTTGAATAGCATACATCTTGACATCATTCGGGAGTACAAATATAAACATGAGTACTTCTCAATTAAGCACCATGAAAACTCGTTGTTTTTTTTCTTTTCTTTATATGAAATGTTGATCCAAACAGGCGATCATACACGAGAACTACTGTAATGTGCATGCCTATCACTCCACAAAATAACCATTCTCTGCCTACAGAGGTTTTTGTCATTTCTTCCTACGAACCTCTGTTCTAATATGGCCCTTTCATGGTGCGAGTGTTCAGGATTCGTGATTGGTTGCAATCAGATTTAGTTGTGCAATCAGCGACGTTGTTTCAAAAGTGATCATTCGCAAGGCCTCGGGTATTTCCGTATGCTTCGGGAAAACTAGAACCTCTTTCCCTGCGCGATGCGCAAACGTTTCTTATAGACAAAACTCAGTCATGTAAATGGCGGATCAATGGCCTCTCCATCGCCCTCGCTGACAACGGACAAGCTAGCTATTAAATGTCTTGTGTGTCACATCAACACACGTTCCTGGCAGAGGGAGGGATATTTGTGACCGAACATTTGCTTGTATAAGTCAAGTTGATGTAAAACGTGTTCTGATTGGACAGAAAGAAGGGAGATAATTCGTGGTGCGATTTTATGCCGCTAGGGGATTTTACGAGAACTGGGAAATATGACCGTATTAGGATAGAGGTTCGTAGGAAGAAATCACAAGTAACCTCTGTGCGAAGAGAATGCAAAATAACTAGTTCGCAAACGTTTTGTAAAGGTGACAAACACATTTGGGTAGAAATTTTATACCAAAATTGGGAAAAATATAATATTTTCATAATAAGACAGAATCATTCAGAAAAAAGCACAATTGTGCGCTACTGGCATTCGTGACAAAGAGATGTCCTGTCTCAACATCAGTGACATCTTTAATATTAACTAGGCGGTTATTAGTTGACCTGTGAAGAGACACGTGGCCGCCAGTAAAGCAATAGATCGCCCAATAGACTAGTCAAATTTCTAAGAAATGTGGATTTTAAGGATGCATGAGGCATTTTTGAGTAAAAGCAAGCAAACAACGTTTTCTGGGGTAGTTTTTCGTGCTGAATACGAATCTGTTGTTTGCTAAGCTCAATAATGCCTAATTAGGTCACAAATTGGGTTCAAAGGTCAATGAGTGCAAAATTCAATTTTTTTATAAAAAGTGTTTTATTTATCATTTTCCATCCATACAATGAACTCGTTTTACAATATATTGATTAATAATGGTACCACAGGATTTCAAAATGTTGGTTTTCATGGAAATGCTGAAGGAAAATTTCGTATTTTGCAAATATCTCCTTTATGGAGCGACTTTTAGTTTTTGTGTGAAGAGCTACTTTTACAAGCATTTTTGCTCAAAATGCAAAGCAAGGCTAAATCTTTTCCTTTTGTTAACAGAATTATATTCCAGGCAAACTATTTTGATCACAAAATTTGCATATTAAGCGCATAATTACTTCAAAGATTAATGAGTGTGACAGGATGCGATAGGCATTTTTATATGTATGCCACATGAATGCTTTTATACTGCTTCACATGCATGTCAAATGAAACTGCTTTCATTCATGCAGTGAGTTTGATTAATGATTTTAGCAACATAATTACCCACGGAACAGTTCAGGAAATCACAGGAACGGGTGGGAACCCTATCTGATAATGGAATTGATGGCACAGCTCTATGCTGGTTCAAGTCTTATCTGTCGTCCCGTCTCCAGCAAGTACTGATAGAGGATCATTACTCTCTCTAGGATCTGTTTTGCAGCTCTACGCAATATCAGTTCCATTAGGCAATACCTGACTATAGATTCGGCAAAAACTCTCACCTTATGCGATGTAATGACCTGCCTGGACTGTTGTAACTCTCTCCTAGCCGGTGCAAACTATCCACAAATCCAGAGACTTCAACGAATCCAAACTGCTGCGGCACGTGTCGTGACTAGATCGAAGAAGTTTGACCACATCTCACCCATTCTTCAATCTCTTCATTGGCTTCCAATCGAGAACCGGATCCACTTTAAACTCCTCTGCCTCACCTACCGCTGCCTGTCTGGATGCGCTCCTGCTTATCTCTCCAATCTTCTAATGCCATATAAACCAGCTAGATCCCTTCGTTCTCAGGACAAAACCTTCTGCTTGTTCCTAGAACAAAACAGTGTTCGCTACGGCAGCAGATCATTCGCCTGCGCAGCTTCAACAGCCTGGAATGATCTTCCCTTTCTCTCCGGAACACCAGTGACTTCTCTAGCTTCCGATCAAAACTGAAAACTCACCTTTTCTGAGGTCTTTCCAACTTTGCTGAACTCTGAGCATACTTCAGTAGGGATTTATGCATGTTAGAAATGCCCTATTATTACTTTTATTATTATAATGTGTCAAATACATAGTATGAAGATGAAGGCGAAAGTGGAACATAAATGCATACAAGCCATGTGCTATGACTGAAGGATCGAGGCTGTACTAAAAGACTTTGCTATCACATATTTGGTTTTAGGAATCTTTGTGCCGGAGGATTTTGTTAGTTGATGCACTGCTTGTACTTTTTTATTCAAATGGTGCAGTGTGTGGGTACCTGGAGAGGTCATCAGTGGCGGTATATACGTAGCACTGGTGTAAGTTTGTTTCTATTCACAGGCCAAGGTTTATCATTTGAGCTTTGTATCATATGTCAGGAAACCAGTCGGTCTAAAAATACCTTCTACAACCAGACAGAACTGAACATCTAATCCATCTTTGAGGCCACCCAGCCCAGGCACAAATTGAAACATTCCAAAGTTCGGTCATCTGTAGACAGGGCTATCATTCCTC